TAATAATTCGGCACAGATTTGCTTGGCCTATAGTAGATGATATAACTAAGTTAGATCTAATAATAATAATTTAGATAAGATCATAAGAATCTGTATAAAAAAAAAAAAACACCTGCTGGCAAATGATTCATCAGAGATCTAGTCCGCCTAGCCTGCTAGTAAAGTTGCGTTGTAAACACGCGTACTTGTAAGTTGTAACGTTATTATTAGGCCTATACATACGATTGTTAACAACCGGTTCGTGGAGGTCATTAAATTCTAAGAATAGGTTCGCATGAACCGGCTGAATCCCACCACTGCATAGGCTTCGTAACTCCAGTCATGGCAAAATGTGCACCAGTCAGTTGCGGTGGATGCTAATGACATTGATGGGATATACTGTATATGTACTATTTTTTACACATACTATTTTGGACAGAAACACACTTTTATAATCATTATTGTTAAAAAGTTCGTTTCCAAGTCACATATTTGCTATAACGATAATTAGGTACACTAGAAAATACAAGATCAAAAGAATCTTATAATCGCATATAAAAAGAACAACAATAAAATGGACCAACAATATTATCATGAACCACGATAGTGATCCATCATAAGAATTTCACAAAACCTTAATTGAACATTTGGGTGAAAAGCACCTTAAACAGTAAAGATTCGGTTCAAACAACACTAAAATCTTTACTATTAACTGCTAAGGCTGTACACAATAAAATTGCACATAAAAGTAAGCATGTTAGACTTACAAGGAAAAAAATCTGCTCAAAACAGTCCGTTTGTAATTCTTCTTATTATTATTCTTTTGCCCGCCTACAACAAAAACGGCTTGGTATATTGCACCCAAACCTTTTGTAGAATACTAAATAAGGTACTGCGAAAATCGTAGGGATATTGTAAAATCCGTTTGTTTTTCTGTAATTTACATATGCTAAAATACATCATAAATCTAGTGTGAATGATGTTATCATTACCCCTTTAAGCTAGCTTTCTTACAAGCATCTGCTAATCCTTAAAGAGCTTAAGTACAGGGTGAAATGGGAATTTCGATATTTTTTCAAGTCGTTTATGCTACATCATGTTTTTGCAATTTGGCACGAAACTATTTCATTAATCTCATTACATTAACGAACCTGATCATATGGAGGCATGCATGTCAAATGTTTCTCTCTATCAATTATTTAACGAGATTTAGTTGTGAAAGTTCCAGAACGTATTTAACTATTGTTTTCCTTATCTTTATTAGGTACATATATCACCATGGCAAATAGAGGGGTTCCTTGGGAAATGTTTATAAAATACTATGCAAAATTTGACAAAATGGTTTGACTCCTCTTTCCCAAATCCTGGCCATGTACCTGATATTCGGGTCTAAATCTGCATAAAAAAGCCATAAACGAATGCAATTTTTCGTCTTTTAAGTTGGATTATAATGAGTGAGATAGTCGTGATGAGTTGAAATTACGTTTCAGTTTTGCTTGATAAGCTCACTAAACAGGCTGAGTTTAAGCTAAGGAATGATTTGACTGAACACAAAACGTAACGCATAGTGAAAACAATCTTTATTACACTTAAAAAAACGTTTTCTCCAGTGCGTTTTCTTCCTTGACTTTGGACGATTGCTCTCAACCAGGTCAAAAAGTCTATCCAGCTTAGATTGAACTTGGAATAAGACTTGAGACAGATTTGAGAAGAAATAACTAAATGAAAGGCTTCTAATTAAATCAAAACCTTGCATTTACCTAGCATCACTGAAATACCATGTGAATAGTAATTCTCATTTCACATAGTTGGAACCGAAACTTCTAAATATTACCATTGACTGATATTGCGCTCGACGTCCCAACAAGATCTCTGTAAACAATGTTATCTACAAATAGTATCAGATTATTAACAACTTTAAGAA